GCTTTTTACCGATATGGTAACGTGCCGGCGGGTCATTGAAGTGGAGATCGGAACGTGTTTGGTCCTAGACATCCTTGTGAGGGGGCAGGAACTGTGCCTTATTAATATTTATGGACCGCAGTCCAGGTGGGACAGGAAATGCCTCTTCACAAAGATTAAGCATTTCCTTTTTACTTCCCGGCAGGTTGTCTTTGGAGGTGATTTTAACACCGTCACTAGCCCAAGGACAGGAAAGGCTTCAATGACAGGCTGGGATATGACAGCATTTTTTTGAATGCAATAGTCAGGGAGGCAGGTCTGGAGGATGCCTTAATTAATCGCAGCCCAGACAGCACAGGATTCACTTTTAGGAGAGGTAGAAGTGAGAGTAGAATAGACAGGGTTTTTTTTAAGGGGGACTCTGCCTTCTCGGCACCTGTGTGTATTAACTGTGTCTTTGAATGTTTCAGATGCACCACTGAAAGGAAGGGGTATCTGGAGAATGAATTTGGCCCTGCTGGACGATGAGGAGGTGAGACGATCCTTTGAGGAATTCTTTCAGGCTCAGGAAACTATCCTGGATTTCTGCAACAGTAAGTCGGAATGGTGGGAGCTTACTAAGGTGCGGATCAGCAGGTTTTTCAAGGCCATAGGTAAAAAAAAAGCAGCTTGATAGATACATCGCCTACCAGCGGCTGCGGAGGAAGCTTGACCGCCTTGTTTCTAGCGGTGGAGATTCTAGGGCTATCTCGGAGGTGAAGCTTCTCCGCGGGAAATACCAGTACGACCGGCACGCTTCTTTGGTTCTGGAGAGGGATTATGGGAAATACCATTCACCCAACCCTTACCAGAACTGCAAACAAAGCGCAGCGATTAAGACGGTCACCGGCCTAAGGGATAGTACGGGAACCCTGACAAAATCCAGGTCAGGGATCTTGAAGGTCTCAAGGTCCTTTTATAAGGAACTTTTGGGGAAAAGGCACCTCGACCGGGCAAGGATGTTGAGCTTTCTGGACACTACGCCAGGTCTAGAAAAGAACATCTCGCTTGCAAGTTTGACAGATGAGATCATGGGAGAAGAGGTAGCCAAAGCCATAGACAGTCTGGCCATTAAAAAGACACCAGGGCCAGACGGTTTGACAGCGGAGTTTTTTAAGACCTTTAAGTCCAGCTTGGAACCTCATCTCGCGGAGGTTTTTAACTGCTGTCTGCAGGAGGGTTTGCTCCCTCCATGAGACAGTCTGCTGTGATTTTACTGTCAAAGGGTAAGGATCCTTCGATGATTGGGAATTGGCGCCCCATTAGCCTTCTCAATGTCGATAGAAAGATTTTGGCTAAGATCTTGTTCTGGAGCTTGTGTCATCGGTGGCAGACGAGTTACTTTCGGGCCAGCAGCACTGTTCGGTCCAGGGCAAGAGCGCGTTCACAGCGGGTGTTAGCTGTCTGGGAGGCTCTGGAGTGGTGCAGGGCTGATGCTCGTGGAAAGTATTTGCTGGCATTGGACCAGGCAAAGGCCTTTAAACGAGTCGATCACGAGTACCTCTGGCAGCCTCTTGGCAGGTATGGCTTGGAGAGGAGGTTTATATTGGCTGGCTCAAAACTTTGTACAAAGAGGCGGAGAGCTTTATGCTAGTGAATGCTTGGGTTGGGCGGCCCTTTGGGGTCAGCTCTGGGTGTGTGCCAGGGGTGTCCTTTGAGTCCCTTGCTCTACGTCTTTGCCATCGACCCCTTTGTCAGAAGGCTAGATGGTGGAGCGTTGGGTGGGGTGCCGGTGGGCATCGCTGGAGAGCTGCCTTTGAGGGTCGTGGCTTATACCGATGACATTTCTGTCTTTGTCTCCGGGACTGAAGAGGCGCTGGTGGTGGTCTCGGAGATAGAGCAGTATTCCGAGGCATCAGGCTCCAAGGTCAACCAGCACAAATGTGAAGCTTTCTGGATGGGTAGGGAAGGAGAGAGCTTTCCTCTTCCGGACGCCATCCCACAGCCTCAGGAAAAGATCAAAATTCTAGGCATTGAACTCGGCCCAGATGACTACAGCAAATCTAATTGGGAGGCCAAGCTGACCAGTGCCGAGGTCAAAGTAAGATGCTGGAAGGGGTGGTGGCTCTCCTTAAGGGAAAGGGTCGATTTGATCAAGACTTACTTGATCCCCATTTTTTTGTATGTCAGCTTTGTTTGTCTCTTGCCAGAGTCTCTCTATACGAGGGTCTACAGCTGCTTCTTCCAGATGTTGTGGGGGAACAGACTGAACCTTGTTAAGAGAAATGTGACCTACCTATCCAGGCAGAAGGGTGGCTTAGGTATGGTTAACCCAATTGTTTTTTTCTCTCTGATGTTCTTGAAACATAACTTTGGTAGGATTTTAGCAGAGAGACTGCCTGCATGGGTAAGCATTTTCCGGGTCTGGTTTAGTCCTTTTCTGAGCTGCTGGGAGAATGGTGGGCTAGTGAGAAGCCTGAGGGTCAGACATGGTAAGCTCCCGACTTATGTTGCTCCATGCCTGAAATTACTTAGGCGGTGGTGTGTGACAGCAGAGGAGGTCAGGTCCCTCCCTAGGAAGCTCCTGGGTGAGAGGATTGTGGCTACTGCTTTTCATGCACCACTGGCTTTGAAGGATTGCCCAGGCCATATTATGAGGGAGGGATTACGTTTGATTAATTTTGGAGCGGATACCCTTAAAATTTAGGGACCAGGCCTGGCTTGCGATTCATGGCAGGCTCTATGTGAGGGGGAACTTGAAGTACCGTTCTCTGGATGACCGTGGTTGTCCGAGGACGGAGTGTGGGGGTGAGGTGGAATCTATGGACCACTTCTTGCTTCAGTGCCCCTTCAATATAGAGGTTTATAAAGAGGTGGGGAGGGCTCTGGATATCCCCTTCCTGCACTGCATGTCTCATGCAGAGTGGGTATATGGGGCATTAGAAAGCCATGCTGATTATGATTTTGACACTCTTTTTCTAGTTTGTTTAGTGGTCCGTTACTTCACCTGGAATGCACAGTGTCAGGTTTCCGTGCGGCAGAAGGTCCTTCCGGTCCAGGTGGTGGTGTGTGACATTCTTGGTGAGCTTGGGAAAATTCGGGGTCTTGCGTGAGACAGGTGATGGCAAAGGGCCTGGATAAAGGCATGGAGGAAATATCAGGCCTGTAGCTGCCATCCGTTAATCTCGGGTGTTGGTTTCTTTCCTGATTTTCTTCTCCTTCTCACCCCCCTAGATTTTGATGAAGAAATACTGTTTTTTGAAGAAAGGCTACAAGTGCCTGAAGATCAGGTTTCTTAACCTAACGAATTGTATTATATGTTATGTTTGATGTTTCCCCACTAGGTGGTAAGGTTGTGCGGAGTATCATGTTATGTAGGTTATTACGCGGCCATAAAGGCCTTTTCCCCAAACTGTCATGTGGCTGTAAAGGCCTTTTCTCCTATATGTATGTTTGTGGCCATATAGCATTTTTTTCCCATATATGCTGGTCGAGCCCATGAAAGCCTCACCTTTCTACTTTTGATTTTCTTATATGATGATTTTTTGTTGATGATGTGGCTATAAAAGCCTTATTCTGTATGTATTCTTAAGGCCATAGAGGCCTAAAGCAATTTTGCTTTGTTTATGTGTTTGTTCATATAATTTCTTTAGGAATGTGATCCTGTTTTTGATTTGTACCAGAGGAATGGTCTATGTATTTATTTATTTATTTTATATTTTGTATTTTTATATTTTTGTAGGGAAATGTTTTTCTTTGTGGCTGGGTTGCAAGACTACTTTAATAAAAAAATGTCCAGCTATCCTACAGAACCCGGTGTTAATCACTCTTCCACTGTCCACCCCCCCCCCCCCCCACACCAGACACACCACAAATGGTAGCCTGCCACCACCCAGCAGTTTATCCGCATGTTGCTGAGACACCCCACTCCCAGAACTCCGGTCTGGCAGAGCAGTGACCTACCCAAGCGACATGGCAATCCCCACACACTGATCAGTGGGGGCACTTTGCAGCAGATTTAACAGGGTCCGTCTTAAACAGAATAGCACTAAATTACCTGTTCCAGGGTAAGGAGATGGGGTTGCCAAGGCACCAGCCACAATGAAAGCCGGTTTAAGCGTGCCGTTCAGCAGATCTGCGGACGACCACACGTGGGGGAGAGGATAGGAAGAGGAGGGAAGGGGTTACCTAGTGGACAATCTACATGAATCTGCCCAGGGACAGCCCGTGCCGGGGGAGGTTGCAGAAGCCGCGAGGCAATGGGAATGGGTGAAAACCGAGCGGCGGCGGCGGGTTAAAGGCAATAAAGTAATCTCTAATCTCTCCAATCAAATCTCTCCAGAAGAAAGCGGTACGATGCCCGTGCAAGTTAACTGGGGGGGGGGTCCGGGGTGTAGGCGTCGCTGGCGGGCGGGAGCAGGTGGTGCAAAAGAAGCGCGGTGGCAGTTTGGCAATTAGGGGGTGGGGGGGGAGTTAGACGGCACTTTTTAAAATTTACTGGATGAAGTACAATTAAATTTTAAGATTTAAGACAGGGGGGGTCGCAGTAGCAGGCCGGGGGGCCGTTGTGAGAGGCGTCGCAATCAGACAGGGGCCTCCGCGAGGTCAGTAGCTCCAGTGCATACAATGAAGATCCAATATCCTTTCCTTGTCCGTTGTGCTATCTTCTTCATTGGTTTATTTTCCCTTTTTTTTTGTCTTCTTTGTTTTTTTCTTTTGTTCTAATTTCTTATTTTTTTTCCTTCCTTTATTTCCCAATTAAAATCTCTTCCGAAAGAATGTGCTTAAGTACACAGAAGTCACTAATTAATTTTAAGATTTAATTTCCCGAAAAGTGGGCAGTGCATTAAAATATGTACAAAATATAAAAGTTACAGAAATACAAAAAAATACAAGAAGACACACAAATGACTATTCACTATAAAATAAAAAGGGAATAAAAACAGAATAAAACTTTAACCAAGATCTATCCTGCGACTGGAGCAAGCCAGAGCATCGCAATCAGTCAGTCAAATCGAACTGGCTCCATACAAAATACAATGTCCCAATGCCCGGGTACTCCATTCATGGGGATATGGACGTAGGCGGGACATTAATCTTTGGCCAATTGACTCTGGGGGGTATACCTGTACCTGAATATTATAAATTTACTTGTGAGCCAATAAGGTGTATAATAAACAGCTTCTATCAATAAGATCGCAGGCTACCTTGCTCACCCTCATAGATGTGAGTTATCAGTGCATACAAATGAAGAAAATATAGACGCCGCGCTCTATCAAGACCTATTACCTGTATATAGTATAAAAACTGTATTTGCATTAAATCTCTAATAGCTGCATGATCTTTTATGTGTAACCATACATGATAGTAATACCAATAAATACCCAAACATGTGTTTATAATAATGAATAAATTAATTAGAAAAATATATATCAAAAAATATGTGATAATAAAAAAAAACAAAAAAAAAAAAAAGTCTGTGCAAAATTATTCAAATTTGTGTCCTTCGATGATTAAATAAATATTCAATTAAGAAATAAATATCAAAAATAAAAATCGAAAAATATGGAAAATAAATAAAAGGTAAAAATTCAATGAATTTTGTGCAAAAATGCAGAACAAACTTGGTGCAGAGTTCAGCAGGGATAAAATATCTGTGTGCTCTCCTTCCAATCAGCATGAGGTGATGCAGGTGAAGGTTGCAGATAGAGGGCTATTATGTAAGCCTGAATGGTCATATGGATCTCTCCCGCCTCAGATCTTTCCTTGATCCAGCCCTTAAAGCATTCCTCATACGGATCATGTAAATAGAGAAAAGTGCATAGTGCTTTATCGTTGCTAAAAATAAAGACTTTAATATGCGCTCAATATGCACTCACATTGATTAAAAACAATCTGCACTTTGTATAATAGCCGCTTAAAGCGGTGAAGACCAGCCTCTCGGGTGTGCTCGCATACACTACCAGTGCTTGCCGTGTAAGGATGCGTGGTGATGTCACTGCCCCTCCCCAACGCGTATCTCCAGAGGGATTCGTGGCTTCGTCGGGGGGATGTAGTATCACATGTTTGGGTATTTATTGGTATTACAATCATGTATGGTTACACATAAGAGATCATGCAGCTATTAGAGATTTAATGCAAATACAGTTTTTTAGACTATATACAGGTAATAGGTCTTGATAGAGTGCGGCATCTATATTTTCTTCATTTGTATACCTGTACCTGCCTACAGGATGTTCTGGGTGCTGACCTGCCCAAGTTCAATCGGACCAAGACCGGCTTGAAACACCCAAGTCGGGGATTGGATTTCCGACACCAGCGCATCAGTCCGATTGCGACAGTACCAAACACTGTTCGACTGTCGCACTCCAGCGCCACCTAACCATTTCCTGCATTTTCCTGGCCTTCTACCTAATCCACAAATATGGTTTTTATACGTTGGTGTGACGCACATAATGCCCTATAAGAAGGAAGTATTTTCATCTCTCTGCAACTAATATTTTAGCTTTAATAAGGGATGAAACATACTTCTTTGATGTATGTATATTCTTTTAGCTCCCCTGGTCATCTGAAGCTGAACTGTCTCCAGCCATTTCCTTTAAACCAGTTTCCCCAGAAGGTGACAAAATCTTATTAGCACTTAAGTGTCACATCCAGAGGATGCTGGAAGTCTTTTAAGATGCTAATTGATCAGCTAATTGATGACCATCTGTCTGAGTACCTATGACTGAATATTTCTTTAATAACAAGGCATGCAACTACGTTTACAATTACATCTTGCTACTGATCACATCTTATCTACTCAAATCTGTACATGTATGTCACACCAGCATTTTATGCATACCATAAAGCTAGACTGTCGGATTACAACACAATTTTAATACAATGGGAATCAGAGGGCCCTGCTTGATAGAGCTTACAATCTAAGCAAATGCATATGCACATAGAGTATGTACGTGGTGATCGCACCACACACAATAAAAATTCTTGCTATAGCTTATTTTTAACTCTAAATTGATGATAACCAAGGCTTTTAAAGCATCGCCTATAGACAGCTGCCGTTTTTATTCTCCAGGTCCTCTGCATTTCAAAAATATATAGTGTTCAGGAGTTCTAAGTAATTTCCCATTAAAAAAAATGCAGATTTTAACATGCATGTGAAAAATGTAAAAATTGCCATGGTAGGCAAGCAGTTAAAAGTTTATTAACAAAAGAAAAAAAAGCGACAGTATAAACCCGTCATCAATCGCAACATCCAGTGCTCCCAATAAACTCTTACCACCAATGATATTTCTCAGCTCACATATGAATGTAAACAAAGGGCAAGGGAATCCCAGGTCATTTTTTTTTTAAAAGGTAAGAGTTGAAATTGAAGTGCCACACCACTGCTAAAAGGTCCAGATACAACTTGTGAGCAATGCCAAATCACTTATATTACCTTTCAAAGTTACCACTCCTCTCCTGACTGCCCCCACATGTATTCTGGACTCAGTTGTCCCACCTATGGGCCTGGAGCCATCATGGTGGATATAATCAGGTGTAATGGAGGGAGATCATTTGCTGATCTCCCTGACCATGAATGAACATGGAAGAGTCAAGTATTACACTGTCAAATAGGTAACTGTCACATTTCGGTGGTAGCAGTAGGATAGTTCTGCTATTGTCACATCAGGTTGACAGCTTGGCAGGATTGTTCTATTTAAAGCATTAGATAAATAACTAATCCTTCACTAAAGGACTGTAAGCTTTGTGGAAGCAGTTATTGGATATAAAAAGGTGCATCATTTTATATATCTTTATACTGTGTATATATAATGAATAAAGACAGACTGAAACACATGGCAAATCAAAAGGGGAACTGATTTGTAATATGCAGAAATCCAGGCACAGCACATCCTGGAGGAGCCTGCAGGGGAAGTGGTTGTGTCTGTTTAAAGTACAAGTGGTTCTGGTACACTCCAGTTGGGTGAAGGTACAAAGAATGAACCTACCGGTAATTTACCATTGAATGCAACCTTTGGTCCACAGCCTGAACCTGCTAGCACCAGCCTGTCTCCAACATTGACCCTCCTCGGCTGCAGGAAGCATTACAGCAGATAATGGCTACATATTCTATGGCATACCAGCAGTTTCTAAAGGCTCAGACTGAGAGAGGATGAACAGAAACAGACTGAGAGAGATGAGAGCATTGAGCTGTGGCTAAAAGAAGAAAGCTGCCAAATGCCATGAAAGAGAGTTAGGCTCCAGCAATGTACTACTTGCTTTCTTAAAAAAAAAAAAAAAAAAAAACAAATGAACATGTTGTCAGTGGGCCCAGTATCTGTTGCCATGGTTGACCGGAAAAGCCCTGGAGGCCTATGTGGCATTACTCATCAAGAATAATAAAGATTATGAGATCATAAAGGACACTATAAATATAAAGTATCAATCACATTGCAGCAGTGGACTAAAGGACTAAAAAAAGATTCCTTTGAGTTTCAAGCCTCAGTCTTCCAAAGTGGCAGCAGAAATAGCAAATACCTACAATAAACACTCTGGTATCTGACCACTGCAGGGCTCCCTCTTGTAGCTGGGAAGGAGGGAAATCACCAACAGTGGCCCTTGCTATGTCTGTGAGCCAAGCCTCCCAGTGAGTAGCACCTAAATCTCCTGGTATCAAGTCAACTGATACCCACAAAAGCTACACTTGTGGGAAGACCAAATGCCTCAAGAACCTCTCCTAAGCAGAGGATGCAATTGCACCTGGCCAGGAAGACGGACAGCTGGCCAGGAAGACGGACAGCCAGCCAGCGCCTATTCCTCTCTGCTGTTCGCAAGTGGCAAGCAGCAACACAAACCTATAGAATGTCATTGTCCATTACTGAGACACTGGCACAGAATTCATACTCCTTTGCCCTGAGCTGGTGGGAGAAAGTAATGTCATCCCAGAGAAATTCCTTACACTCGCTGGAGTCGGAGTTGTGTATCTAGTGCATGGGATTTCTTGAATTGAAGGGTGGGGAATTGGATAGGAGAGGCCGGAGGCTTAGAAAAGAATCGCACACTGGTTCTGCTAGGTGCAGATATGCGGACTCTGGTCCTATACTATGAGCCTTCTGATGACACCCAGGATTTACCAACTGCACCTTCTGGACATGCTAATTTAGTGTGTAAAGATGAAGGTATTTGAAAACTGGGCAATGTGTAGTACATACATGTACTACATGTCTATTTTTCAAATTTGTTGGCAATGTATTGCAAGTATTAGCAGTCACTCGTAATACTGCAAAGGCTGCCAAGACACAGTCTCTGGTTGCAGTACATAGTCCTCTCTGACCTAGTGGACTCCTCAAGTGTAAGCTGTCCTTGTTCACCATGGGACACTTTGTTGAGATATGTAGCACCACCTTTGAATAAGCACTTCAAACTGACCCAAGAATGCAGAAGCTCAGAAAAAAAACAGCGCAAAGAGCTCATTGTATAGTAAGTAAAATATTCACATGTATTACATAAAATTATAGGCTGAGGAAGTGGATAATAGTTTATGCCCAGGTGTTTTTTTGGGCTCAGCCTACCCGACCTGTGATATTTATAAAGGGGGAAAGTTGGGTCTGGGGAGGAGTTCCCAATTCAAGAACAGGATACCATGAAGCTGTGGAGTGCGTAGGAGGACTGCTACACCCATCAGTCCACCAGGACATACTAGAGAACTGCCAAGTCATGGGAAATGCCAGGGATTGGACTAACACCTTGTGAGGTATGCCTGGGCCGCCTAATTGGCCAGTTTATTTATTTGATACCAACATTTTTATTTGCACTGTATAGACCATATTTGTGATATGCAGCAATAGTCTAGCATTTCCTTCTACTTTCTAGACCCATTTCTATGGGCACTTGGAATGAGTGCCATGTCAATTTTTTTTCTTTTTTGGTACCAGAAGCTTTGAAGCCTAGCTTCCAGCCCTCCAGCAGAGGGAGAGAAACTCAGTTTACTGGGACAATGGAAAGTTGAAAGCAAGGATCTGCCCATCCAAGGCAGTGAGACAGAAATGGTGGGGATGCATGCACTGTGTGATGGTAACCAGGGCGACTTCTATTTAGCCACAGTTCCCATACATGGATTGCAATTTACCTAGTCCCTACTGAGCCAACAAAATTCTGATTCATGTATGGCCAGCTTTACTGTTTTACCAGTAGAATAATAATTCTATGCTTCCAATTATACTAGGCAAACTAATATGCTGCAGAACAAGTTCTCTCAGAGTTACCAGTTTAGCTGGAAACCTCATGAAAGTAAAATAACTTAGTAAGCACTTTATATGAAATGCAGACATCACTATGTGGGTCTGAATAAACATGAAATAATCGTGAATCAAAAGGTAAACTTCAAGCACATGATCTGAGTGACCTATGTTATGTGACCTTCTGTGGTTGGGACGCCTTGCCCTTCCTGAATGTGTTATAGCTACAGATTTATGGTCACAGACTTTTACTGTAATTATGCTTGCTAATATTCTAGCAGTTTATGAAAGGGCTATTCCTATTTTGAAGTCTGCAAATTATATTTTGCTTGTTAAGCTACTGTATGAACCAAACAGTACTTGACATGTAAGCCAGAAAATGAGCAGCATAAATTAAACTATCTGCTACTTTATGATGACACTACAGTATATTCCTATGGGTTATCATATTGCACTCAAGTAACTGAAGTGCAAATTTGCTTATGGGATTCCAGCTTTTTATAGTATTGCAAAGTCATTTCTCATATACTGTACAATATGTCAGCAACATCGATCTATGCTGCACATAACCCTACTGGATATTTGTAAGAAGTTGGGAATTGTATCCTGCAGATTAGATTCACAGATGGAAAAGCAGAGACTGACATATGTAATATGCATATCTGAGTAGTTAATATTTGCATTATTTTGAGCATGGAAACTGTTTTCTATGCAGAATTGTACCAGATTTTGCACCAGGGCAGCCATCAAATTTTGGGGCCCCTTACACAGTTTTAGGCATGCCCCCCCATCCCGGGCCTGACATCCAACATTCCCCAGGGTCCGACCACTGGCCTTCCCACCGAATGCACCCACTGACCATCCCATCAAGTTCTTCAGTGCACCCACTTTTACTTTAACACTCTTACAACTTAGCAGAGGGGGATCTAGGCTTTGTGAGGCCTTAGGCAAAATTTAGACATGAGGCCTCACTCAGGCCCAGTGGTGTATTTAGGTTTTGTGATGCTCTAGGCAACACAAAAAATCAATTGTTGGTTAAAATTTAAAAGATGAGGTTGCATGAGTAAAGAGATACCAAACCTTTCATGTCCTTAAAAGTGCATGCACCTGCAATATTGCCAAAAACTATGGTGACCAATAATCACTATAGGTGATGCTTTAAAAGCCTTTACAGGTCATCAGTTTAGAGCTAACTAGAAGCTCTTGCGTTAGAATTAT